TTTTCACATCATACTGAAATTGTTAATTCCTACAGTCTACCATTGTTTCTTATTTCATTTCAAGGGATTTGCTTTTACCACTTGATAAAAAATACTAAAATGGCTTGCTTTCTTAATTACAACAGCAATCCTGAAGACAAGGACACATTATAGGAATATGAATTTGACGTGGTCTAAATGACTCCTTTTTCTGGATTTCACATAAGGGAAGAATCTATGAGGCTGGAGAGGTAGGGGGGAAAAAAGACTGCTACCGTGACATCTGATTTAATAAAGTGAGAGAATAGAATAAAGAGATTTTAAAACCAGTGTTGCAGTGCACTGAGTGATGTACTGTGGAGAAGATTTATAACTTGATGTAACGTTAAATAAAGACATGAACAAGCCATGTTTTGGCATCATCAGCAAAATAAGGGTTTGGTTACCTTAACTGGAGGTCCTATCAACTTTACTTTCAAATGAAGTCCTTATTTCTTCTAAGCACGATCCTTCTGATAATTTTTGATACGAAAGTACAGACTTTGAGTCTTTCTTTCCCCTTAACAACTCAAACCAGCAGCACTTGCACCTTATGGCAGTGTAAAAAAAATATAGTGAGAGAGGAGAATTAGATCACTTGTCATTATAGACACGTAACTGCCTATTTGACACATGCACACGCTCTTCAGATTTCCATACTACTCCTCACTGCTTTAATTGCTGGGCATAAATTAGTTCAAAAATCCATACCGTGCTCACTGAGAAAAGGAGAGAGGAAACAGAGCTCTTCTTTGAGTGGCTGCTACTTGCAAAAAAACCCCAACCAAACAAAAACAAACCAAAAAAACCCAAACAAACAAACAAAACCAAAACACCCTGCATGTGCGTTATTACTGATTGGAAGATGCCATCAGTGATGAAGCTGTTACTCACACACACTAACTCTATAGATCAGTCCCTCTGTGTAACCTCATTCCTGCTGAATCTATTGCTCTTGCTTTGCCTAGTCCTAATCACTTTTCTGTCGTACCTACCCCCGATGTCCTAGACTCTTTCTCTCCTGCTGTCAAAATTTGGGTTTTTCTGTTTCTTCATGAAAAAGGAAGAATTAGTAGTTTGACTTCATTGCAGAGGGCTAAAGGGCAGCATTAGATATGGCAGAGAAGCTGAGGAAAAATTAGCATAGATGAGCTCTAAACGAACTGCCTTTGTTAACATGAATGACTAAGCAGAGGAGTAAATAGAGAAAGACTGGATATCTTCAGATAAGGGCTGAGACCCTGGAAGGCCCCAAGATAAGAAAAATGATTGGTCAGCCCACATGAGCATGAAGAAAGAATCCAATGAAGTGTTAAAAGACCCCAGACCATAAATTTGGACCAAGAGGCGTGTGAAAGGCGCATGAAGAGCAGGTGCACAGACTGAGGGAGTATAAAGTTCCAGGGATTACTTTGTCCAGGGTCCCTCTCCAGAGGCATACAGCTCTAGCATGTGTGGGTGGCAGCTGCAGTGAGAAAAGGCGGGGATAGGAACTAGGGCATCAGAGATCATAGGTAGGGGACATTGCTTTGGGACAGGGTCCATGCCAGGACACAAAGACAAGGACAAGGCTAATAACAACAGGTTGGAAGAGCAAGTGAGTTTGTAACCACAGGAATACATTTCATCAAGAACTTTAAACTCAAGCCTCGATCCCCAAATCTCCATACTTCTGTGTTTCTAGCAGTTTGTTCTGAACCCTGCAAAGGCTAAGGTGTCTTTCTTGGGTATCTATGAGGTAGCAGACATAAAAAAGGTAAGAGCCCACTACTGCTCCTGTTTACTCAGGTAGCTTAAATAGGAGGATCCCTGTTCTAGATCTAAGGATACCACTTTGCTAGGGACCTAGCTGGGAGCCCCTGTGATATGTGTTAGAATATACTGGAGTTTCACCTTTTAGGCATTGATATGGAAATATACCTGGGGAAAAATAGTGTCAAAATTAGGACTCGACCATTTTTATTTAAAATTTATGAAAAATGATGCCTAAGAACTGACTAATCTTCAGCTGAAAACCTGATTTCTGTTTGGATATGCCACTGTATGGTGTCATATATCAGGTTCCAATTGAAGCCAGCATCTTCTAAATTCTCTTTAGCCAAAGGGTTGAGTTTCACATCAGACTTGATGATCCTTGTGGGTCCCTTCAAACTCAGGATATTTTATGATTCTATGAGTCCTAGAGAGCCACAGAACAGCCTGATCTCTGTTCCTCCACATTAGTGATTATAACCATAGACCTCACGAGAAACAGAATGTTCAGACACTTTGACTAGAGGAGCAAATGGAAGAGTAAAGCATGTGTCAGTAATTATTAATTTGTCTTACTTATGCTCAGTTTGTGATATCTGGATCCTGACCTGTCCTTGACAAGCAATCATGACTTTAAGTTAACCCAGTGAGAGACATCTTGCAAACATAAAAAGGACGTAGAAGATGAGCTCTGGTGTATCTTGTTTAGCAAGTCTTATGATATCCCTGATGCACAGCTGACAAAATTGCTGCAATATCTGGAGTCTTACTGTAAACCACTAATGAAGGTAGCTTTAAGCAAAGGTGCTGCTCTGTGCAGAGTAGCTTGAAGCAGAAGCACATGTCCTTCTGTCGGTTGCGTCAAGTGGAAAAATCATCCTTAGGAATGAACCAGCCACTCAAAATTAGTAGATGTTTTTTTAGCATGACCTACCTTTAGCTTTCCATTGTCCTTGTCCCAGTGTGGGTAACAATACCACCTTCTATCACAGTGCTGTCATAAAGAAGAATTCCATTAACATTTATGGATAAGTCAGTTATGAGAAGCGAAAGCATCAGAGAAAAGGCTGTAGGGAACAGTCTTAATGTGTCAGTTCAAGGTACACTATAATGCATATAGATCACCACATTTTAAAAGGGGAATGTTAGTAAATGATGCACAAATGATACACAGGCACTGTGTAACCTCCTAATGAATGAGGAAAAACATCACATATGAACATGTAAATTAAAAATATGACATGATGCATTTCCATACAGAAATGGTATGGAACACTGCTCTTCTGCTGCTTCCTAATTCTTTACAACATAACTACATGTATTTTTAATGCAGGGTTTTTTTAGGTAATGTCCTTAGCAAAGATCAGTTTAGACAAGTAACACATTTCTGTGATTCAATTCTAGGAACCAACAAAGACCAAGAGGTTTATACAGCTAACAAACCTTACTCCATAACCAAAGGACATAACTGCAAAAGACTCCAGCTTCCATTATCACGATGTTATAACTAGGTCAGACTAAATAAAGCAGTAGATTCAGATTTTAAAGAGTAGTTATGAATTTAATATGAATGAAGGCTAGATAATGTAGCCAAGTGAGAGAAGGGTCACTGAAAACCCACAAAGTATTTTTTTTTTATTTTTCAGATTACAAAGTTAAGCAGTAAGACAGCATAAAGACTTCTGCAATAGTAAAGATGTGGCGACAAGGTGCCTAAAAGACCCAAATATGAAGAAAATGTACTCAGAATTTCATGAGATCAGGCAAACTGAAAAAAAAAAATAAGATGGTCTAGATAAAATAAGAATACTCACAAGCTTCTCCAAATGGCTGTCATCATGGAAAAAAAATGGGGGGGGATTGGAAGGGGAACAAATAAATATATTTGCTAATAAGCAGGAACATAATACAGTGCCTACTTTCTTAGCAAACCAAATCTGTATTTTTGCAGTCAGGCACCCTTGGCCTGGAAGGATGAGGGGTTTGTTGACACTGTTAATCGACAATAGGGACGGTTTAAAATGCCTTTAGTTTCAAAAAAGCTTTCAACGCAATTTTATTTTTCACAATTAACCTGGGCAGAAGTGGCATCATGACTAACAGGGGGAAAAAAAGTCTTCTTCAATCCAGTGCAATAAAAAGCACATCAGGTTGTCTGAAAAATCAATCCCTAAATGGTGTGTAAACATGAACAAAGATTGGCAAAAGCTTCTTCCACAGTAAGCAGTTTGAAAACAATTGTCACTGAGTCTGATGACATTTAAACCATGAAAAAGTCATGCAATTCCAGGAACGAAACTGAAAATATGTAGAGGCTTAACTCAAAATCACTATATCTGGTAATTTCTTGAAGAGAAAACCCCATAAACAAAGCAGGGCCGTGGCAATAGGAATGCACCTTTAAAGAATCAGGCTTTGCAATGGCAGCACTTTCCCAGAACTCCAATTTTATACTCTGCTTTGGTTTGGATTTTGAATAATCCAAAACTGCCCTGATTTTTTCAAGAGACTCCAGAGATACAAATATGTCAAGGAAAAAGTGTGGAAACATAAAAGGCACAAAACCAGAGTTGGCATATTGAGGATTGTATTGCTGTGGTAACAGAGCTGTGGCTGCACTGGCAGTTTCGGGGTCTCCTGTGCCACAGCCCCCCTCACGCCCCACTCCTGCAGCACGACTCCCGTTTTCATCAGCTTCTTAGGAAAGCAGCTGGGTATTTTCTTAATAGCAGAGCAATAAACTGTTCTGTGAATAAACCTGGAACACAGACTGTGAGCTAACTCAGATTGAGAAATTTGACTCACGGAGCAGGTAGAGCGAGGCTTGAGTAGTTGCAGCGCTTGGAAATAAAACACTTGGTACAAAACTTGGCTGCGGGGATGTGAAGGTGACACGGTTCAAGCCCAGCTGGAAATTAGGCACTGTGCAGCTGCTCACTCAACCCCACTCTCCTTCCCCCCTAGCCCGGTGGAATGGGTATAAGAATCAGAAGTAAAATTGGTAGGTTGAGATAAAAACAGTTTAATAATGGAAAACAAATTACATAATAACAAAGGTGAATATCCCTTTGGCCAGCTCAGGTCATCTGTCCCGGCTATGCTCCCTCCCGACTTCTTTTGTGTACCTTGTCACTGGCAGAGCATGAGACACACACATACACAAACAGACACACACATACACAAACAGACGCACACACACAAAATCCTTAACGTAGAATAAACACGACTTAGCAAAAACCAAAACATCAGTGTGTTATCAACATCACTCCCATTCTGAATGAAAAACACAGCACTGTAACAGCTACTGAGAGGGAATTAACTTCATCCCAACCCAAAACAGGACAGAAAGAAACACCTTGACGGAAGAGGAGAGCACTCTCGCGTTATCAAGCAACTGATGTAACACCACCGCCACAGAAGAAATAGCCACCCTCCGCCTGCAGCAGTTAATCTGCTTTCATGTTTGCTTTCACTGCGTTCCATCCCTCCCCCAGCCCCCGGGGTCGAGCCCGGAGGCTCAGCCCAGCTCCCGCAGGGCCCTTCTGCCTCCCGTGACCCCGGGGCAGACACTGCGGGGGTGTTTCTGCGGGGCACAGGCTGAGGACCAGCCCGAAGGGACTCGCCTCGGCCCAGACAAAGCCACCGCGCTGCGACTGCCGAGCCCGAGCCTAAAGCCCGGAGCCCAAGCCCGAGCACGCCGACCACCTGCGTCCCGAGACCCCCATCGCTCCCGCCCCGCTCCGTCCCTCCCTCCCTCCGCCGGCCCCGCTCGGCTCCCCCGCCCCCGCCCGGCCCGGAGGCGGGGCGGGCTCCGGGCGGCGCCTCCCGCGGCGGGGCCGGGGCTGGTCTTTCCGTCGGTGGCCGCCGCCGCAGCATGAGCGGTCCGGGGCTGCTGGGGCCCGGGGGCGGCGCGGGGCTGCCGCCGCTGCCCAAGAGCCTGAGCGGGCTGCTCAACTCCTCGTCCTCGGGTGGCGGCGGCGGCCAGGGCGGGCGCTGGCGGGACCTGGAGCGGCTCTACGCGCAGAAGTCCCGCATCCAGGACGAGCTGAGCGGCGGCGGCCGGGGCTCGCCGCGCCCGCCCAAGCCTCCCAACCTGGACGCGGCGCTGGCCCTGCTCCGCAAGGAGATGGTGAGCGGGGCGGGTCTCGGCGGGGCGGCGGTGGCGGCGGCGGCGGACGTGGCGAGCGGCGGCGGGGGGCGCCGCCACCTCCCCGGGGCCGGAAGGGCGCCCCGGCCCCGGTGGGCTGGGGCAGCCCCGCGTAGCCCGGGCGGCCGCCGCGGGCGCCGCGAAACGGGGTCGGGGCCGGGGGCGGTGGGGCCGCCCCGGCTGCAGATGGAGAGCCGCTTGTCGCGCTCGGCGGCACACGCCGGGACCCGGCATCCCATCGGTATCCGGCATCCACCGGGATCTGGCATCCACGCTACAAGGCTATCGTTTAAAAAAAAAAAAAAAACGAAAAAAACCAAGCCTCGGCACTGATTCGATCAGCCCGAGTGGCTGCGATTAGGCGTAGTTTTTCTTCAGGACTCTGTTTTGATCCTGCAGCGCGGCGTTATTAACAGTGAAATTCTTCCAGGCGACCTGGCACACCTTTTGATTAAACACTAATTGGGTGTTGGTGCTTTGTTGGTGCAAGCTGCAGATGTAATGACTAATAATAGCCTATGCCTTGTGCGCTGAGGATTCTGAAGAATCAGTACAAGAAAGGCAAGGAGCTGCTGGAGAAGGTCCAGCGGAGGGCCACAGAGATGATCAGGGGGCTAGAGCATCTCTCTTATGAGAAAAGAGTGTGGGAGCTGGGCCTGTTTGGTCTAGAACAGAGAAAACTGAGAGGGGATCTCAATGATGCATATAAATATCTCAAAGGAGTGTGTTAAGAGGATGGTGCCAGACTCTTCTCGGTGGTGCCCAGTGACAGGATGAGGAGCAATGCCCGTAAACTAAAACATAAGAAGTTTGACCTTAGCATCAGGAAGAACTTTACATTGGGGCTGCCCAGGGAGGTCATGGGTTCTCCCTGTCTGGAGACATTCAAAACCCATCTGGACACATTCCTGTGTTGTTGCCCGTCACGATATAAGCAGAAACCAACAGAGTGTTAGTTTAATGCCGGTGCTTTATTGAGGGCCCGGGGATACAGGGGGCTAGCGCCCAAAGCCCGAATCCCGCGTTGTCCATTTCAAGCACATCTTTTATACACTCAGACAAACAAAACATTTCTATAGCTACCACTTCAAAGGTACATG